AGATATGAAGCAGAACAGACAGCGTTTTGAGTTCACTATCTTTTGAAAGACAGTCTTAGCTTATATTTGACATGAAATATGTCTTTTGTAAACTATCTGCCTCTGCCAGTAATTGAATGAAGATATTGCAGCAATTCGTAGCAGAATTTAACCCAGCAAAACAGGGATATTCTTGCAGAAGTGTCAACAGCCCCTTAATGGCTGCAGAGTGCAAGGCAGTAGGTTGCCACATCCTTCATGGTGACTTCAAGCTGCTCATGCTGCTTTCGCGCAGTTCTGCAATACAGAGGTCATGGTGGGATCAAGAACTTAATCTGAAAGGCGTAAGTAAAGGAAGATGCAGAGGTTTTGCATTTGGCTGGTACCAGTACTAGGAATCTCCTTAATATTCACTGCAGCTACTTTGTTCGTTACCCGATGGAAAGGTACCTTCACTCCCCAGATCACAAAGTCACATAGTGCCATAGGTAGTGATTCAGGAGGGACACTCTCTTGATTTCCAGGTAGTAGTTCTCTCTGTCAGCTCAATAAAATGTGATTTGTTGCAGACAGAGTCTATCCAAGTCATTTGGAAAGGCGGTGGCCTTTGTTACAAAGGACCACAAAAATATAATGCCAGAAAAAAAGAAAGACAAAGAAGAAACCTCCAGGGAATTGTGCTTAGTCCTGCCTTTTGCTGTCTAGCTTCTTTATTTCAGTTTTAATCTGGAGAGAGATGTTAGAAAAGTAGAAAAAAAGGAGCAAAGTAGCTGAATGCAGCTTAATAATGAAAGAAACTGCTGAAATAGCGTCAGAAAGCTCTTTAAAATGCAAAACTTCTTGCTGATTTGCTATGCAGAATGGGAAAAAAACAATCACTTAAAGGTGGTGGCTAAGCAGGCTTTCCCTTCATCATCTCTCACTTCTGATACTAAAGATAAAAAGTGCTTTCACAGGGAAAATGCTTTCATAGTAAAAGCATAAATACTACGGGAGGTGAGAGACAGATCACTGTTCACAGTCTCCAGCCTCTATTAGAAAGTTCATTAGACTTCTGTGGGCAGGAGTCAGTCACAGATGAGGGCCAGTCATTGTACTGTTCAGTGACCTTCCAGAAGCATTGCAAACCCTGGAGGGAAACAGAGAGATATTTTTATCTATCAGAAATGTTTAAACAAATACACTTTTTAAATTAAAAATAATTTGAGTTCTAATATGATCCAGTTTAATTTACCACTCTTTATAATCTCCCTTCCGTCCTTCCTCTGTGATTCCATGCAACAGTGTTTTAGGTTGTCCCTACCAGTCTTGTATTCCATCTCTTTTAACCCCATATGTGAACAGATCAAAAATAGTTTTACCAACTGTGCTTTGAGTAACTCCAAAACCAAGCTGACTGTGATGTTCTTTCCATCGGAGCTAATCTGAGCTAAGGGACTCTGTTGTTGCACCACATGACCCCTACCCTGCATTTGTGAGGGGCGTCTGCTCAGCAAATCAGACCTTACACACGGGTTGCTGATGTTGTAAATTGTAGCAGAACCAGTACATCTGGATTTGTTCGCTGAGGCTGAGAAATCATTTCTGTTTATTTTTTTTAAGTGGCACTGTGTCAGACAAGGGAAGGGAATCGAACCCTCTTGCTCTCATTCTGCTTAGCCAGCTATAGCTAAGCTTAACTGAGGTGTGTTGCTTACAGAAGCTGTAGACTATGGAATAGCTTTAATTGAATGTTCCTTGAGAAGGAGTATCCTTAATCCTGTACACATGGAGAGCATGCACACACTGTGAATTAGACACTGTTCCCTTCTCCCTTTCATACCCTGTATAGCACTAGTTGGGAAGTCTGTTGCCTTTCTTTGTTAAAAAGAATCAATATTGCTTCAAGAATGAATACCTGAAAGCACAATGGTTAAAATGCATATAGTAATAAAATACAATATAAGCTTTGCTCCTTCTGTACTCTCTGCGTGCTACCTCTTTATCAGAAATGTAGGAACAGAAGAAAGAGCACGTGTAAGGACATTAGCAATACTTGTATTTGGTGAAAAGAGTAATGGTTTTCTCAATGCAACTCATAAAGTCCTGCCACTATTGCTGATGCATGTCCAGTAATAAATATTATGCTGTAGCAATTTTAAAGGCTACGTGGTAGCTACAGCAGCCACCTCCTTAGGATGCTGTATATATTTGTTTAGCCATTTGTTTGTTGCATACCCATGAAGGCATATAGCAGCTTTACAAATACAGATGGAGATTGGATCTCAGCCCAGAACCATTTAGGAATTGCAGTTTTGTTACTATTGTTATTGTGTTTTTTCCCCGACAGTTGAATTTGTTCTATGACTGACAACATTGGGCTTTAGATAATACTAAATGGTACATCTAGACCAGATCTGGTCAGCCTGAAGCTGAGCGTGTTATCAGAAATCTTTTATCAGCATGTGCATGTGGTTTACTGTGTGCATAAATAAGCAACCTGTACAACTGACTCAGAAAGTTCATTCGTCTTTGGGATCAACTCCATAGAAATGAATAGGATGGAACCAGTGTCAGGATGGCAATGGCTGCTGCTCCAAGCAGAATTAAACTAGATCTGATTGACAAGTTTCCCCAAAAGCTGCTGCTTGAAGGAAGACAGGGCTAAAGAAGAAAGAGCCATTTCTGAAGCTGCTTTGTCAACCGTTCCAGACACGGGATCTTCACCCCCAGGCACAGTCCCTGCTTCCCATTTGGCTCTAGAAGCTGTTCTGCGCTCCAGGTGCAGTGCAGCTCTCTGACTGTTGCTGGCCAAGGCTCCCTGCCTTGTGTTGTTTTCACCAGTGGGGGAAAATGGACAGAAAGAGTTGAATTGACTTTCCTGAGGTTACAGAGAAAGGCGGAAATTAGAGTCTGCGTCAGCCAGAACTTCCTTATACCCTGAACTTCACTGAGGATGTTGAGCCATGGGTAACATTCATATATGGTACATTGTTTAGATGTTACTTCCTTTCAACTTCAGCCATCTAATAATTACATATCTGGTGTAAGACACTTTGCAGGGTCTCCATCTCTGGTGGAGCGAGATGGGCAGCTGCAGGGAGAGGGGCAGTGACACTGCCAAACATCGAGAGAGGAGAGTCACCCACTGGCTTTTTTTTTCTGACATCAGCAGCTCAAATGCAGGCGTTGCAGGCCCCCGTATGTGCCAGGGGCCATATACTGCTCTAGGCAGGAACGCCTCCACGGTCAGGAGCTCGGGGCTGTAACTCCTGACAGGTAGCCCTTGCTTGCCCAGTGCACTTGGAGTTGTTTTCATGAGAAACATTCTCATGATGTTTCCTCTCCCAGGGTGAAGCTGATGCAATGGCACCACAGAAAGAGAGCAGCCCATCTAGGAAAGAGTTCTGAATTACTACGTGGTATTATATATTATATTACGATCAAATAGTCATTCTGAAACAGACTAGTGTGAACTAAACCCCTTTCTGTATTGCCATTCAAGTTGATACATGTAAAAATAGGGCATGCCATTTATAGTGATAAAATGAAGACATTTGTGCCACCTTCAGACTTTTAAACCTGCCTTAGATGGTCTGAGAGGATAGCCTAAACAGAGAGGTGGATCTGGTATTGTAGTACATAGTACTGTTTTCAGTCAATAGAGCTGAGTTGCAGCATAACCCTCTTAGGGAATGAGTCAGAGAAATGTTTGTATTATGTTCTACGAAGTTTCCTTTTGCAGTCTCACCATCAAATATTTTACCAGAATGTGAGCAGTGCCTAAGCCTGACAGACGATACAGACAGGATGTGTCTGTCAAACTGGGAACAGTTTAGCTCCTGTACCTGTGGTCACCCATCTGTTTGATTAGCCTGGGGACATAAACATTTCCAGCTGATAATCTTCATTGGAATAAAATGGTAGCAG